TGCTGTGACATTTTAATTGTTATCTTCTTTATTTCGAAAATAGCTTAATTTAAAAAATATATAAAACCAAAAATAAAAAATATCTAGACTTAAAACGAAATTTCAAAAACTAATAATAAAACATGTATCTCCTTATTTAGACATCCAACCGCGTTGAACCATAAAACTTTTCGTCAGAACTTGTCGAGAACTACAATCCAGAACCCCAGTCAGAACTATTCGTAACTCTTCACACACGCACGTATATGACAGTTATTCCACAACTTAATTATGTATATAAATTAATAAAACTAAATCGTCAGCTATAAAAATTTAATCACTATCGAAATATTCTCAAAGTTCATATATTTCTCTTTTAATAAAATTATTCATTAATTTTCTCTTATATATTTAGATACATAGGATTAAAATTTGATCAAGTTAATAAACACTTTCAGAATTTGATCACGGTTAATAATTATATTAAAGTAAAACAATTTTTGGAAAACATGATACATTCGCATCGACGCCAATTTTTGAAAATTTTAAATACTAAACACATGATATGGATTATTATAGATAAGAATAGAAGCATAGGTAAAAAAATTTAATTAAACTCCATTGATTACTTAAATATTATTAAATAAAAATTAATGTATACAAATAAAACTTATTGATATACAGTACAAACAAAATAAAACATAATACAACTTAATATTTACATACAGCATTTGTAAACTAAATTGTAATTTTTGTACAAACATCTTCACTTCAAGTTACGTAAAATATCTTATGAGATAAATTATATATTTAATGTAACAGATTAAATATGGTTATTTATCGTTCCCGTATTTTGTGCCAAAAAGTACGGGAACAAACTCCAAGGCAACTAACAGTAAAAAAAAATAAGTTTGCTCCAATTCCAGATGCAGAAGAGCTCCGTTCAGCCGAAAGGAGCAATGCATATATGCATGTAAGCGATGTAAAAATTGTTATTCGTCCTTTCCGTATTTTGCACCAAAAAGTATGGGAACAATCTCTGAGATCCCTAACATTAAAAAAAATAGTTTACTGACAATGAATATTAATGTGCGGAAATGCTCCGCTCAGTCTGAAATAGCATCGTACCATACTGAATTTTAATTTAACCATTACGTAAAATTATTATTAAAAACGAGACACTAATAGCGTCAATGACGACCTAATAAAATATTTTAAAAATATATACAGGATTCGACCGAATAATATGTACAAACCGGCCAGCACGATGTGATTCCGTATAAAAAAATCATTCTAGTTGCCCACAAACTTTACCATTTAGCACAAGATACTTTGTAGGGAAGAATGAGGACCTTTGGGCAGTCGGGAGGATTGAACACTATCCTTTAAATCTAAATATGTCAAAAAAATATTCAAATTTTCGTTACATCAACGTATCCGCTTTATATTAAAACAGGAGACATATCCATTATCCATTATCATAAGTGTATCAATAGAGTGTGACATATAAATTGTAGTAAAGTGATTACTATAATACCCATGAGAGGCTTAATTGAAGTCTATACACACAATTGTTACTATTTCATACAACTTATGCAACCAACTATAGCCAGGGAAAGTGCAGTTTGATATATCAACGACGTGTGCAATGACCAAAAATATTCGAACAATTTTAAAGCCATTTCTAATAATCAGTTATGTGTTTGGTTTAAGAATTGCTGATTTACCTATAAATCGCACAAAATTATGGATTAGTTTTCTATATATGCTGCTAATTTGGATAGTATACTATTGTCTTTTAATATCTCCACTAGTATATTCTGTTCAAAAATCGTATTCAATTGAGTACCACATATGCTATTATATGGAAATACTTATAAGCTTATTATCAATCATGTTCGGTGTTTACAATCATAAGGTAAGTAAATACATATGTTCATATATTATATATGATCATTATCAACATGAATGCATTTCTACGTTAAGATATTTGAAGTAAAATATTGATATAGATTGCATTCATAAAATTCTTCGCATCTGACATCATTATTTCAAAAAATACTGAAAAAGAATTTGCAAAAAACTGTATTAAAAATTGTACATATATTCTTTATAACTAAAGTGCATTCAATATTAGATACATAAAATGTAATAAATATAATTAAATTTTCAAATAAGTAATTATTTATAATGTTTACTCGTCTAATTGCATCTTTATTAGAAATTCCAGAATTGTCTGAAGAAACTCGATATTATTGACAATACGTTACTTGAACTCGGAACAGTGACAGATTATGACAAGTTACGTAAAAAAATACTGTGGCATATCTTAGGATGGTTCATAATAGTCATATTAATGAATAGTGTAACGGCACTATCCGTAAATGTTGAACATGATTGTGACATTTTGACTGCTATAATTGTCGTCTTTATACGAAATTATTCTTACCATGTTAATGTTATCGGTTATTTGACTACTACAAATATTCTTGGGTTAGTTGCAACGTTCAACCGTATAATACATACATATGATACATACACACATGACTATTATTCCACAACTTAATCATACATATAAATTAATAAAATTAAATCATCAGCTATAAAAATTTAAGCAATATTAAAGTATTATTAAAGTTGATACATTTATCTTTTCAAAACAAAATCATTTATCGGTTTTGTTTTATATATATTTAGATACATTGGATTAAAATTTGATCAAATTAATAAACATCTTCAGAATTTGACGACAGATAACGATCATAAAATAAAACAAGTTCGGGAAAACCTCATAAGACATTCCTATCGATGCCGGTTTTTGAAAACTTTAAATACTAAACGTACCATATGGATCATTAGGTAAGAAAGTCTAACTAAATTCCTAACTATATAAATACTTTAAATTATAATATTTATATACAGTACATACAGAATAAAGTGCAATATTTATACAGACATCTTCACTTAGAGTTACGCAAAGTATCCTACGAGATAGATTCTATATTCGTAACAGATATGTCTTTCAAAATGGGATCCTATTTTGGTTGGATAATATTCCTTATTCGCGAAACTTTCTGTGCACTTATCGGCAATTTAAAATATGATAAAATATTGTATGCAGCAACGAACGTAATATGGATTTCTCATAACATTTTTAAATTTCTGCTCGTTAATTATATGTGCGAAACAGTTAGCACCAAGGTACTGATTCCACATTTAATTTCATATAATATTTATCTACCTAAACAATAGATTCTGCTTAAAATTTATTTTCAACAAAAATTTGATTGTTATGTAATATTCTATTTTAAATTACTGAATTAGAAGCACAATTTTTATCTTATTTAGCCTATTTTAATTTTAGGCAAATGCAACAGGACATTTACTAAATAAATTATTATATTCCACTTATGATGATGAAGTCCGTGAAGTCGTAAGTTTCAAAATGAGTTCGTTAAAACATTGTTAAAATTAAACATTCAATGACATCTAAATAATCAGTGAGATATATGTATATTAAAAATAATCTATTGTATTAATATAGATTTCACAGTTTTCATTACAAATGGTATTTATGCCACTTAGATTCTACGGAATAGGACTTTTCCAATTTGGTTTCAAATATCTTCATAGAGTATGTAATACTTACAATATATGTAACTTAAATTCGTGATTAATATTTAAAAGATAAATTAATACATTGCTTTTATTTTCAGTTTATCATGTCAATTGTGACCGTTTTAGTTATAGTAATTCAAGCGCGCGAAGATAAGTAAACATAATTATCAAATTATAACAGTTCATAAAATTAGTTTATGTTATAATAGTTTAGACTTTAGGGCAACGAACAGTTTATGAAATGCATTATATTTTCCAAATGGTTTGATATGTCCACATTAATATTCAAGGGGAGAATTGGTAATAATTAAAAAAGAAATATTTATAATTTGTTATATATTACAAGGTAAATCATAAATAATGTTTATTATGCTTTCATACCAATTTCATTTTTTCATAAATAATGTTTATATTATGCTTTCATATCGATTTCATTTTTTCTCGATTCTTTTCATAAAAAAGAATTATTTTCTGTGTGTGCACACAGTTTTTTATATAACTAATCAAATAATACAATAGTATTCTACCATAATAAAAAACAATTCTTCATAATCACGAGGATGTATTTATAGTATTTGTATATTATCTATATTGTACTTTATCTACTTCTAATTGTAAGATTTTTAATTATGACTAAAATATCTTCTTGTGTTCGGTGATTATAGGTTGTATTACTATATAAACATTGTTTATAACATAAAAAACATAAACATTAAACATAAACATCAAACATAAAAAAAATTAAAATGTCAAGAATTGTATTCATATTATGTGCAAGAAAAAGTACTTTATCTATCATTCGTTTTATCTCAATAGATCATGTTTTATAAATTTCAGTAGCATAATTACCTATTATTCATATTAAAAAGTGGCTTAATAGAAATTACAAAAATAACCGTGACTATTCATATAATTTATGCAAATATGAAGTCAGTAAAAAAAAGCAATTTTATTATATGTATAATGCATATATACATGTGTATGTGTATACAGGGTGTCCGGTATTTAAATGGTAAAACGTTCGTGGGCAGGTAGAGCCTTTTTACGAAACCAGGAATGTCGTGCCCACTACATATTATTCGACCGCATCCGGTATATATTTTTTAAATATTTTAAGTTATTGATTCTATTAGTGTCTCGTTATTAATAATAATTTTACGTAATAGTTAAATTATAATTTAGTATGGTAAAACAAACAATTAAAACAAATAAAATGAAATTCTGTTTTTTCAATTTTTTTATATATACAAAATATATGTAACGTTTTATTTCATAAAAATAAATAAATATTTGATAAAAACTTCGAAAACTACGTTTTTATTAATTTAGAACGTCAAAAGAGAAAACCTCACTATAGATACGTAAAAATAAAAATAGTTACCATTTTTTATTACTCAAGATAATTTTAACACAAAATCCGTGTGTGTAATAATAACCAGGGATTGTAATTATATAAATAACAATTCCAATCATAACAGACAGTAATATTTTACATTTACATACCTACTTATGATATTTATATGTTAAATATTTATTACAATTGTAATTAAGACTAAAATCTATGTTGCTTAATGGAATTTTTTTAAATGTACTGTAGAGTCATATAAACATCTCAAAATAAAAAAAACAAATATGTCTAGAAAAATATTCAAATTTTCATTATATCAACATGTCTGCTTTATGTGAAAACAGGTGGCATATCCATTATCATGTTTCAATAGAGTGTGACATATAAATTGTAGCAGAGTGATTACTTTAATACCCAGAAGAGCCTTAATTGAAATTATATACACACTATTGTTACCATTCCATACAACTTATGCAATCAACTAGCCAGGAAAAGTGCAGTTTGGTATATCAACAGCGTGTGAAATGATCAAAAATATTCGAACAATTTTAAAGCCATTTCTAATAATCAGTTATGTGTTTGGTTTAAGAGTTGCTAATTTATCTATAAATCGCACAAAACTATGGATTAGTTTTTTATATATGCTGCTAATTTGGATTGTTTACTATTGTCTTTTAATATCTCCACTAATATACTCTATTCAAAATTTGTATCACACAATTGAGTATCTCATATGCTATTATCTAGAAATACTTACAAGCTTATTATCAATCATGTTCAATGTTTATCATCATAAGGTAAGTAAATATATATGTTCATATATTATATATTATCGTTACTGTAGCAATTTCAAACGTATTGCTGCAGTTACGATATTTGAAATAAAATATTGATGTAGATTGCATTCATAAAATTCTTCGCATCTGACATTATTTCAAAAAACTGTAATAGAATTTGCAAAATACTGCATTAAAAATTATATATTCTTTATAACTAAAATGCATTCGATATTATAATGTTAGAGTATCTATAGATATAGTTACATAAAATGTATAGATATAATTAGATATAATTAAAGTTAATAGATATAAATAGATATAATTAAAGTTTCAAATAAGTAATTATTTATTATTCTTACTCGTCTAATTGCATCTTTATCAGAAATTACAGAATTGTGTGAAGAAAATTGATATTATTGATAATACATTATTTGAACTCGGAACAGTGACGGATTATGACAAGTTACATAAAAAAACACTGTGGCTGGTCTTAGGATGGTTCGTAACAGTCATATTAATGAATTGTGTAACGGCATTATCCGAAAGTATTGAACATAATTGTGACATTCTGACTGCTATAATTGTCGTCTTTGTACGAAATTATTCTTACCATATTAATGTTATCGGTTATTTGACTACTACAACTATTCTTGGGTTGGTATAACTTTTAAATGCATATATATGTATATGTGTGTGTGTGTGTGTGTGTTTGTATGTGTGTGTTTTATATATTATACATATGATACTTATTCTACAACTTAATCATGTATATACATTAATAAAATTAAATCATCAAATATAAAAATTTACCTAAGCAATACTGAAGTATTTTCAAAGTTGATACATTTATCTTCTCGTAAGAAAATCATTCATCAATTTTCTTTCATATATTTAGATACATTGGATTAAAATTTGATCAAATTAATAAACACCTTCAGAATTTGACGACAGATAACGATCATAAAATAAAACAAGTTTGGAAAAATTTCATAAAACCGTCGCATCGACGCCGGTTTTCAAAAATTTTAAATACCAAACGCACAATATGGATCATTAGGTAAAAAATTTAATTAAATCCTAATACATAAATAAGTAATGTAATATATACTGTACAAACAGAATAAAGTGCAATATTTATACAGACATCTTCATTTAGAGTTATGCAAAATATCCTACGAGATAGATTCTATATTCGTAACGGATATGTCTTTCAAAATGGGATCCTATTTTTGTTGGATAATATACCATATTCACGAAACTTTCTGTGCACTTGTCGGGGATTTAATATATGATAAAATATTGTATGTAGCAATGAACCTAATATGGATTTTTCATAACATTTCTAAATTTCTGCTCATTAATTATGTGTGCGAAACAGTTAGCTCCAAGGTACTGTTCCATATTTAATTTCATATAATATTTATTTACCTAAACAATATGTTTTGCCTAAAATTTATTTTCTACAAAAATTTGACTGTTAAGTAATATTCTATTTTAAATTACTGAATTAAAAGCACAATTTCTATTTTATTTAGCATAAATTAGCATATTTTAATTTTAGGCAAGTGCAACAGGACATTTACTAAATAAATTATTGTACTCCACTTATGATGTTGAAGTTCGTGAAATCGTAAGTTTTAAAATAAGTTCATTGAAACATTGTTAAAATAAATCATTCAATGACATCTAAATAGTCAGCGAGATATGTATTAAAAATAATCTATTGTCTTAATAGATTTCACAATTTTCATTGCAAATGGTACATATGCCACTTAGATTCTACGGAATAGGACTTTTCCAATTTGGTTTCAAATATCTTCACAGAGTACGTAATATTTATAATATCAATATACGTAACTTAAATTTGCGATTAATATTTCAAAGAGGAATTAATATATTGTTTTTATTTTCAGTTCATCATGTCAATTGTAACCGTTTTAGTTATAATAATTCAAGCGCACGAAAACAAGTAAACATAATATCAAATTATAAGAGTTCATAAAATATAGTTCAAAGGGTAACGGACAGTTTATGAAATGCATTATAAGTTTTCGTTTGTTATATGTCCATATTAATACTAAAGGAGAAAATTAATAATAATTTAAAAAGTAGTATTTATAATTTTTTATGCATTACAAGGTAAATCATAAATAATGTTTATTATGCTTTTATATCAATTTCATTTTTCCTCGATTCTCATGCAAAAAGAATTATCTCTGCACACAGGTTTTTATATAATTAATCGAATAATATAATAATATTCTAACATAATAAAAAATAATTCTTTATAATCACATGTATGTATTTATTGGTATTTGTAGATTATCTACATATTTCCAAGATTTGTAATTGTCACTGAAATGTATCTTTGTGTTTAGTGTTATTGGTTGTACCACTAAATAAATATTCGAATAAAAAAAACTAAAATCAAGAATTGTATTATATATTATGTGTCTGTTATGTGCAAAAATAAATATTTTATCTAGCATTATTTATTTTATTTCAATAGATCGTGTTTTACATGTGAAAAAAAAGTACTTTATATCATTCGTTTTATCTCAACAGATAATGTTTTATAAATTTCAGGAGAATGAGAGATTACCTACTATTCATAATAATAAACGGCTTAATAAAAATTATGAAAATAACTGTGACTATTCCATATAACTTATGCAAATATGAAGTCAGTTAAAAAAACCAATTTTATTGTGTGTGTGTGTGTGTGTGTGTGT